CTGCACGGTTCGGGTTATTCCGTTCGTAAGTAGCTTCCCAAACTGCGGCTTTTGGCGCACAACGACAGTTTTAGGCATGTTGTATTGTTTATAGTGAGGAATATACGCTCTGGGTCGGGCTCAGTCTCTTGTGTATCCTATGTACCAGTCGATTGCTCGAGGTGGCCAGTTGCCTGGTGTGGGAAATGAGTGTAGTGACTGTCAGACATATAGAAATTGTCCGAACGTGCCCTGTACACACATAACTCGTATAAAAGCTTAACTACAAGCAACGGATGTACTTTTGAAAAAAAGTATTGGTATATTTTAGATCTATGTGACTATAGTAGTAATTGCATACGTTGTCCATTCGCAAGCAATGCCTGCATCTTTCACAAATGATCTAATGATAAATTAAATCCCTCTTTACCTTGACAATCGTTTGCAACTTCAGGTATGCCTTGTTTTTGGTCGTAAAGACAGAGCCTGACTGAACTGCGCCCTTGGAGGAGGGCAAAGTTCTCATCGTTTGTTGTGTAACGAATGTAACCTGTAAAAAACCAGCTCTAAAGCTGGAACTCAAGGGCATTTTTGAAGTATCCTATCGTGCTTCAATTTCCGGTCCTTCGAAAGCTATGTTGGTGCAATTCACCAGTGATGGTATCTGTAGCACGCACTATAAGCTAACTTAGGTACGCTCATGTCATCATTTACTAATGTATTGCCAGCTGACAATTCTTGGTAATGTGTCACCACCGGCCCCATACACTGAAATCTGTCGTTTCTGGTGAGTAAATAAGTGAGCGCAAGCCTTCATGCAAAATTTCACCGTAAAAGATGAATAAAGCTTAACCATTTTCTGTTTCTTATGTTTATTACAAAAGTATGTACGAACGAGTGCATTGTGTGGTCCGAAGGCTCCATCACACTGAGGCTCTTCTCCTGAACATCTAATGTCAGCATAGTATTTCCCGAGAGTTCTTAACAGGAGTAGCAGCTCGCGCCCCGCACGGAGACATTTAATTCAGAAATAATGTGTACCTATGTTTTTCCCCACATTTAGTTGAAACTGCGGTATAGCGAGGACGCGCAAACCTTGAATGTGTGCGTCCTCTCTGCGCGGGATCTTCCACCTCTGTTCGATAAAGACAATTGCCTCTCCAGCAGTTTCTGTCAGGTTTGCATCCTGCCCGAATCGAGGTGCGTTCTTCACCCGTCCCAAAAGTAATTATTTTTGGTATTGTAGACTATCAAAATATAAAGTTTCACAGCCATATACCTCTCATCTGCCTGTATGAAGTGGCATCTACAGCATCTAAAATGAATTGCTATCCATTTGGCCTATGAACCATAGTAAATTACATTTGCGTATTTGCTCACAAAGCTTTCACACTTATGTTTTCCTCAGCCAGTATAGAGTAATCCAGAAAAATTGCACGTAGACCTTAGTATCTGTGGGACCGCAAGGGGATATGGACCCTCCTCAGATTACAGGTGGCCTTGCGCTAAAGTTCGGGTGGGTAAGATTTGTGACGGGGTTTGGCTTAAAGTTAGGATACGGAAATATATATCCATATAATTTTGCGCAACGTTGCGTGTAGTACGGGCGAATTTATATTACTCAGTTAAACACCCTGTAAATGGAACCCCGATCTTAATCACTGCTGGCTTGCCAAAATGACCCTGGGTGCAACTGATTTCATACGGTACATTCAAAGCTCACGGATGCACTCTACTACGATCAATAGGACAGTACTCAAAGAGTCCGTGAATCATCTTGAGAGCCTCAGTGCTGCTTCTTCTCGACTTCTCCAATAATCAGAATCGGAGTATGAAGAAAGACTGCAGCATTTATTTCGGAGACAGCAGCGACCTAGATATTCTTACAAGAGATTCTTCTTTAATAAGCTGTTGGGAAATGAGGACCGTGGTTGTCTGTGCTTTTAGTGCCATTTAGTAAAAGTATAACCGTCCTGTGCAAACTATTCACTCTATTCAAATGTACTAAGAAAATGTTTTAGGTCATGGAGGTTTGTACTTTAAAGTCTTGGATGGTTTGGCAGCTGCTTCCAGTTCTGGAAGAACTATTGTAGCAAGAACGTTTGGGCGGCCATAATAAATTTGAAGAATAAGCTTAAAGTCTCAGATAGCACGGATCGTTAATAGGGTTTCGATTTGATGAGAATGGAACGTTTTATCTAGCCTGCCAATCATCCCGTAAAAAAGTCAGCGAAAGGAAAGGCTGGAGACACAGCACATACCCATCTGGACTGAATACAGACGTGGCTGTGCCGCTCGTGAAACTCTGTGGGGAGAGGGGGGCTAGTGACATTTGCTTTTAAGTATAGCCTTATTCTATTCTAAATGGTCCTTTTGAGACAGCTATATGCGAATCAGCCCGAAGGTTAGTTCGCATAACTGAAAACCAGAAAAGACAAATGCAACGTCGTATGTAGTCATGGGAAGTACTGTCGGAACCGTTTCCATGACGTATACTATGCCGACCTTTTTTCGTTAAGAAAAGCTCGAAGAAAAACACAGGTGTCATAAAAATTGGTGTTGTAACTTACCATACTAGAAGACTAAGTACTAGCTAAAAGGCCCAGACACGTGTTTCGCCGGAATTCTGCCACTGCTTGACACAGCTGCGAGGGATCTGCCTCATCAGTGGGTCCCTCCAGCTTTCACTGTCTGCTTTCTGGTTGATAAACCAGTTTTGAAATTTCAGCTTTAATTAATTAATTTATTTTATTTATTTATTTGTCAGGAGATAAAAAAGCTTAACAGGTGTCATAATTGGATAATAAACCATCCAAGGTGTAGAATAACCTCCTTTAGTAAAGATTATCCAAAAATTTTACCAAAGAAAAACAGTCCATCGAAGTGACCATTTTTGTTTTATCGACCGACATAAGGAAGCCAATCCCCGAACAAGGACCTTTACGAAGCATTAAAACTTAGGGGGTAGCTGAGTTTTTTCAATGATCCTAAGGCAACCATACCACGGATCGAGTCATATCTGCATGTCTTGTCTGCTACCGTGGAAACGTTGCTCATCAATGTATTCTGATTTTACGATCGGATGGGGTAGCAATTGTGAATTATGAATACGTCCACTGCCAGCACCCGCCCAAAAGTGAGTGGGCGTGATGACGGGGGATGCACGTGTATCCGGGGTTGATGTTTAAGGCATATGTATTATTCCGCAACCCAAAATTTCTAGAATGTTGTAGACGGACCTAAAATGCAATCTAACTCATTTTTGACTATTTTTGAACTTATATTGAGTTTTTAGGTGGCATTTGATATTATTTTTACGGATTATTTGGTAATATGCATACCCTCCCCGGAATTTCGACGGGGAGATCCGGGGGTGACGATGGGGGTGAGGAAAGGGATATGCGGGTTGAAAACCCCGTCCTCAGCCCCGTCCAATCCCCGTCGTCATCCCCGGGTCATCCCCTATCTCCCCGGAATTTCGACGGGGGGATCCAGGGATTTGGCTGGCAGGGTCATTTATGTGTGACCGCCGGCAAGATTTCTCTCCAAGACAACGTCAAAGTGCCCAAATGGCATACTTTAACTTGGATATATCGTTAACCAGCACCGGTGTTCAACTGAAGTAAAGATTATCATGAAGTCTGCTAAGTTGGGAACTACCACTAACAAGATATTATGTTGGACTTCCGCGTTCAGTCAAGACAAGATCACGGCTTTCAAAATAAGGATGATAAATTTTGGGGCTGGCGTGCCCAACCCAAAGTTTGGAAACCCATTCCACGTCACTGCCGTCGTATTGAGGACCTTGTGATGTCTGGTGACGAAATTTTTGAGTAGAAACTAACGGCATTCTGAGTACACCCCTTAAAGCCTGGTGTGTGTATTAATAAAACAGCTATAGTCAAGGACCGCTTTTAAGAAATATGAATGAAACGCTGAAACGCGTTTCCGAGTAGTGTGATCACTTTAGCGGGATTTTAATATTGATTGTTGTGCGAAGTAATCCTATAATATTTTGGGCACTTAAGGATGCTTACTTTTGAATGTAATTCTTTTAGGCTGTCTGCAAAAATTATACTTTAGAAAACGACTGCTTAATTACAATGCATTTTCTCTATTGATTTGTGATGCCTGTATAAATTCGACGGTATTTCATTGAAAAAGGATGAACAAAAAGATCCTTCTTTTACTCATTGGATAGCCACTCACGTCTTCTTTAACTTTTATGTTCCAAGAAATATTATCTATCAGTTTGTAAAATCTTTCTGGAAATGTGATTTTTGAGACCGTTAAATTTTTATTCGCATAATATTGTGTTAGTCCTTTTTATTGCTCCACATGAAATATGCAAAGTATCTTTGAAGCAGTTTT